AACATTTAAAAGTTTGGTCAAAAAGTATCTATGGTATCCATGATAGTTAAAATTAATACAAATAAAGATCTATGTGCAATATTATATTATGCAATAAAACTGTAAACTGTCTTTGTTTGCGTTTAAGTCATACCTATAAACAAACATCTGATATAGGATGCAACACGAAAAATGACTACGCTTAGCACCTACGTAGTAATGAAACTTCTGCTGACTGAGACTATAGACTTTATGTTTACCCTGAAATATCTAACATTTTTACTAGAATTTTTACTCGAGTGGGTTTCAAGAAAGAGCAAAATTGCCATCAACCAACAAGCAAGTCAATAAAATAAATGCCATTGTACTTTGTTAAGATTCAATGCACCAACAAAAAATTACCATTCAGTTGATACTGTAATTGATAGAGAGAAGACGGTACATTATCCAACTTGATTTTTAAATTTGTTGACCCCTCCAGGGACTCCAGCGCATCAATTAATTCTTAAAGTAGATTTTTTTATAATATTACTCCGGAACATATGTCCACCAAAATTATATAACGGCATAAGATTGCAAATAAAATCTTTGAAAAACTGTTTGTTTGAGTGTATGATTCTTAATGACTGTGAGGATGAGGAAACGGTCTTCGTTCCTAGAATACCAATGATACCAACCAATCTACCATTCCAGTTTAAAAGGCTCTAATTTCCCGTGAAACTGTGTTTTTCAATGACCATAAATAAGGCACAGAGTCAAATATTAAATATTGCAGGTTTAGACCAAAACATTCAATGTTTTTCCCATAATAAATTATAAGTGACTCTATGACGTGTCACATACAAAAAAAATGTATTCGTGCTGAAGGTAAGATATTGAACGTGGTGCATTCAGAAATATTTAATGCTTAAGGCAAATAGTAATTTAAAATTTAAAAATATACGACATAATAGAATACTTTTAGTCCGCCAAAGGTGGACTACCAACTTTCAACTTATATAATTGTTTTATATCTTAAACATTGTCTGAGATACAGCCATATTTAAAGTTTATTAAAAAATCTAATTTTTTTCGATTTTTCAAACAAATGTTAAACGAATAAGATTTTATGACAAAATGATATAAGAAGTGCCCGGCTAGCTATGCTATTAAATATGTGTACGAGTATCACCGTTTCACAATTCATTTTTTTCTCCAAACGTACAGTATATTATTTGATAAATTGTCGGTTTTTTTTTATATTTTTACTTTTTTTAGTTTAGTTTATTAACGATACGCGATCTGGTGAAATCGTCGATTTTGGCAATTGAAGAGAAAAATAATCTTAACAAAAAGAAAAGAATATTTTTGCAGGATTTGACCGTCAATTCAAAGAAAGACTACACAGAAAGGAGAGACTCGCAGTGACCTAGAGACTAGAGAAAGAAAAATTAAAACTCATTAATCTCCAAAAACCTACACAGATACTCGAATATATATATATATATATATATATATAAAGAAATTTAGTTATTCGTTTAACTCGCGTCTGGATCGATACCCCAGATTTAGTGATTGATTGATTGATTAGACATTGTGTACGTTGAGTGTACACAACATATTGTTAAAACAAAACAATATAGAGGAATTACCGATATTGGGATTTGTTACAATATTTGTTAATTTATCGATATACCGATATAATATATATATATATATATATATATTACATATTAAGGTTGAAGATGATTATAGAGAAATTACGTCATTGGTCGAAAAACGACGCCAATGACCGAAATGATCAAATTATATTGTATATATAGGAAAATGTAGTTGATAAAACTCGCGTTTCGTGCTAAAATTTTCGATTTTGAGTGCAACGATGCGATACATTATTTGGTGAAATACTATGAGTAAAATTAATAGTTCTAACGTCCATTGGTAAATCGGATCCTAATCAAATCCGCCGATGTGCGAAACTTTTTCACTCAAAACACCGAGTTTTCCGGGAAAAAAAAATACAGTCGAATACCGTGTGGTCATATTTTCAGAGACTTCCCGGAAAAACTCGTTTTCTTGTGGACGCCCACGAGTTGGTTCCCGAATCAGTCTATAGGTATACGTATATTTGCTATACCCAAGTTCAGGATAAATTAGTTATTTATCCTAAAATTAAAATTCACTTTTCAGGACGTACTAGTATAACCTAATCATTAATCATTTTAACTATATCTTAATCATAAAATGTAATCTATATAATATGACAACAAATCGATTAGACTGACAGACGGCTGAACAGATTTGCAACAATGTTTATACTGCAATGTTTTTGCATTAATATAGGAATGCAATACGTTTTATCACATTAATCACAATTATTTTTATTAGAAATGTTTACTTTCTATATTATAATTTCATCATATCCACTACATTGGCCATCATAGTGCATTATGCCAAAGCTGTAGGTATCTATATCCATTATTCTAAACTATGATTTAATAATATTGACAATCTCAATCAGTTTGGCCTAGGTTATACTAATTCGTCCTGAAATATGAATTTTAATTTCGGGATAAACTAATTTATCCTGAAATCGAGTTTAGCCTGTAACATATATATATATCCGAATTGGTTCCGATGAAAGATAATTTTAATAATAGAAACAGAATTACAAACTAATAACAATTTCCCTTTCATTTTATACAGAACTTGGATTATCTAGAAACTCTACTTATAAGGTGGTTGCAGTCTTGAAAAAAAAATAGGTGGTATTTATATGGAAAAGCTAGGTAAAACTGTAGGGTTTGGACCTTAGATTAGATGGATTTTAATTTTGAAAGCAGATTATGATTGATTAACAAGTTTACTTTCCTGTAATAAATAAAACATGCTTTTACTTATTATTAAAATTATTATTAATTTTTTAAGATAATCAATAGGGATTAATTCAAACAGTTGTATGGTGGGATGTATTTTTATTGGGAACCAATTTGTAATTTATTTTGTTTGACTCGCGAACTAATTTCATAGTTTGCCGTCTCGTATACAGAATGATTAATCATCCATAAGACACTTATTTTGCCTTTCCTCCACAGAAATAATGCTCCACTCTACTCTTTCTCTGCACAAATTTAAAAATTAAATATTTCATCAACAGGAATACAAAAATTAAAATATTTCAATATCAAAATGTATTTAATCTAAAACTTTATCAATTTAAGGAATTTTTAATACTGATTGCAATTTGTAAATAAAAAATGGATAGGGGTTTCACCTCCTAAAATAAGGGTAGTAAATATTAATGGTAATTTAATAAATTACATTCTAGTGATTGTTTGTTGAATTGTTTAAATTAAAATAAATTCCAAAAAGTTGATACTATCCGAGATAATAAGTGTCTTGTCGAGGATTGATCAGTGATCACTCTGTATAGTCGCCATCGATCGTTCTTATTGTCTCATTATATTTATGTCAATATTGACAACTCTGTTTATAATACGTTCACATGGTTCGAGGTAAAATTGAATTTTTATTTTGAACGGTCTTACATTCGTATTGTTTTTTGGCTGACACATTTCTCCATGAATCAAATAATACTATTATATACCAATAACCAATACTGTCACGTACCTAGTGAAATTGCGTTTAAACGATGTACGTATGACATCATCCAGACCACGCCTGTCAACGAATTTGAGATTATTTTACATTTTATAAATAAAAATAATTAATATAAACAAATTAAATTAAAACATTACGCTCTCTTGCCTCTCAATATTATCTCGTCTTCGTAATTTCGTTGATTTTTCACGTGCATGTCACAATGCCGGTACACTCATATACATATATTGTACCTGTCTGCTACGTAAATAAAAGTTTTTCCACCCCCGTGTCAATAATTGAATTTAGTTGTTTTTAGTTTTCACCATTTTTCATACCTATACTATCTATTATACCTATAAGTTTTCCGGACGGCCGAATTAATAATATATTTTTTTTTATCGAGTACGAAAAATGCATAGATAATATTACGAGTAGGTATTTACTATTAGATAGTACCTTTACAAATGAAACCCGAAAATGTGAACAAAATATATTATATCTGCCTGCTAAAATCGTTTTAAATTTTATTAACGACATAAAACGAACTCGGTGTTTTAAAAGAATATTGCGTTTATGAAGTAAAAAAAAATCGAGATTATAATATTGCACAAGGCGATATCGCAAAACCAAATGTGTAGGTACCTATATACTATATGGGTATCTATGATAATAAAACTGCATAATATCGCAAAAATGGTAATATTAAAAGCATAACCCGCCGCAATATTATAGCTAAAAATACTTGTTTATATTGTGAAAACTATTATAACAGTAAGAACTGAATTTTTTTTTTTAAATTTTAATAGGCTAATAACCACGCGTTATAGTTGATGGTTTTATTCGGATATAAAAACATTATTTAGAATTTTAAGAGAATACCTATATAGTTATGATCTCTAAAATAATTGTAGGTGGTGAGTGAAATAACGTGTAATAATAATGGAAAAGCGCCATTATATTATACGTATATATAGACAAAATATTGTAATTGGAGTGTAACGTTGAGAAGATTATTGTATAAGAGCTTCTTGATCTCATTCAAAATGTAAAAATACTGTGATGATTTTCAAAATAAATAAAAATTGATGTGCTACATGCGATTAAAAAGTTTAATATACCTACTTGACTTCTAGCCAGAGATAATCGAATGTCGAAATAACAAACTATTGTTGAATGTTATTACGCTCAACTAGAACAGAAAAACAAATTCCGAAATATAGTCATATATTATTATATAGCTAAGTACCTAAAGCAAATACTTCGAATTCTAAATTTATATAAAACAGGTAAATTTTAATTATTTAATAATTTGGCCTATGCCTTTAATGTCTCTAAACACCACGTTTGCGTTGTTCAAGACTTAAAATTTTCGGTGGACTTAATACTGTTTCAACGGTGATCGGTTTTTGATAATTACTGGGGAAAAAATGTACCGAACAGAAGAACCAAAAGTAATCAGTGCTGTATCAGAAGCCCTCTTGATGTTTTCGTGTTTGGAACAATAATACGTCATTTGCACAAAAACAAAGTCGTATCAACAGACAGAAAAAAACTGCATCATTGAAAACCCTATACCTCACTTTATTCCGAGCTTAAAACGAAATTACATAAATACATAGTGAACGAAAAATAATTATAACATATTTTTTTTATAAGACGAAAAATAATCAGCAGTTCATATTACATTATAATACGAAAAAAGTAAAGGATAGTATCCAAATAATTATGATCACTAAAAAATAGTTTGAATATATTATGCAATACAAAATTAAAATGCGTATTTCAAATAGAGGTCAAAAAGTCTATAGAGAAATCGTACTGAATTTTTAATTTAATTTTGAAAGATTGTGTGGTGGAATATATTTTATGTAAAATCATTTTTAATTTATCTCACTCATGAACCCGGACTGTGGCCTGCAGGTGTGTATCATGAACAACGACCGAACTGTATAGTTGTATATAAAGTTTTTATACCATAACGCAACACGATGAAACCTAAAAAAACAAATGGGCGAATAAAAACTCGAAGTTGGACCGATTATTACTGCGCGTATTTACAGAAAAAAAAAAACAGCAACGGTCGGTGGTATATGTATAATTTATATACTATATATATATTATATAGGTATGTGACCCGTTAGGAAGGTACTTAAAAAATATTATTTAATAATTCCATACAATTCGCTATAAATGCTTATCGATCGGTATAATTATATTATAATATGTTTTGAATTGAAAATAATTAACATACAGTCTGATTTTAAAAATAATAAAAAAAAAACGATTAATTAAAATACTTTAGACTGACTACAGGGTTAAGATATTTTTTTTTTCACCATTTTCTAGCGGATTATCTACAAAAATAAAATTATTTTTGGTTTTTTTGGTCATAATATCGTTTAAAAAATTTAATTCCAATTTTTTCAACATCGCACGGATGGTATTCAACAGGCATGCATTTCAATAACTTTAAATCTTCTCCGGACAACGTGAACATTTTGAAACAACCGTGTAAAATTCGCTCCAGTAGTTTTTGAATCTATTAATCTTATACAGACAGACAGCATCCATTTTTATAAAATATATAAAAGATAGCTGAAAAGCACCAAAATCAATTTTTCTCTAAATCTTCGTAAATAATCGCGTAATTATGATTGAAAAAAATCATCCCGTACAATTTATGTATTTGTATGGCCATGGTTTTTAGAGTTAAAAAGTCTCATACAGACCAATTTAATATTTTCATTATTGTTACAATTTATATGCAAATTTCACTTTGCTAATAATTTAACCTCATTTATATTTAAATTATCCTTTATACTTTATAATTGAATATATATTAGGTGTATTTTATTTAAATGAATTCATACAACTATCAAACGTTTCTTAACGTGTCTTTATTAAAAACATAATAATATTTTAATAATTTAGGATGATTCTGCAAATAATTATTATACATGATATATATTATATAACTATGGTTGAGTTAATTTGTTATTATTGATAAATTTTACCTAAGGATGTTGCCTGACGATCTAAATCAGTAATACTATCTATGAGCATAGGCTCCGAAAAGTTATACTGAGCTATTCAATTTTGCTGAGCATCCGTAAGTTTGTCCGTACAAAAACTTTCGAGGAAATGTTTTATGGTGATCCAACCATTTTTGATTGTTGTTTTACTGATAAAAAAAATATCACAATAGTATTGATTATTCAAAAACTTATCGTGTAAAATGAAACGGTGGCGACGTTACGAGATACTTGTCGATATTATACAGTTTACTTTACATCTCGTATTTCATTCGTTTCGTGTACAAATTCAATCTGCTTCAAAAAATAACAATTTAAGTATAAATCTACCACGAACACGAACTGCGTGCTTAAGAATATTATTTTCCGCGTTATTATATTATCATCATCATTTGTTTAACATTTGTTTACATTTTCAAATATATAATAGTACTATGAAATTATTCTGTTCGGAGCTTTTGCCGATTATTATAAGTGGATGTATTGTGTATACCGTGTAGTTATCAAATATCTCATATCAAACATACATAACAGATAAACAAAAAATGGCAACCTTTATTAGAAATGGACGTTTTTCAAATGATAACTGGTCCGTTAAAGATCGACGAATTGATCCGTGGGAGCAACGGACCAATTTGGAGCTTGGAAAATATTCGAAGATGCGGACAACTGTAGAATCGATGAAGAACAAGCGCGTACTAGCTGGACAAGATATATTATGACAGGACAATTCGAGATATTACAAAATAGATCGCCAGTGGAAAGAGGACAGTTGGATGTCGAAGGTAAAGATTGGTAAACAGAGGGTTCGGAGTGATTTGCAGATGCTATGAGTAATGAATTGGTTTTCTTTTATGTTAATGGGAGTGGAACTTACTCTCAGTGCTTTCCCGAAAATATTGAGGAAATGGATGCTACCTTACCTAACCTTTTTTTTTTACATTTTTGGTATATGTCCAATTATTATAGATAGCATGAAACATTTTTAAAAAATCAAATTTAGATTTTCACTCTGTATACAACAATTCTATTTAGTCACTATTGTCTTTCAAAACCATCTTCAGAATCTTATGGTATTTCTAATAAATAAACCATGTAAAAATGTATCTTCCATATTTGGTTATGTATAACCTTCTTATACGGTATTTTGTAGAAATATATGCACATAACAATCTGTTGGTATTATAAGTTTATAATATATTAATAACACATCGGGAATGTATGTGATGCTCACATGCGCCAAAGTAGAAATCGTATTGCTGCAGTAAAACGAATCGACAAAATGTCAGCTATTCTATACCTACTGATTACCTAAACGTGCTGCGTCCCCTAATATAGTATTCGTTAAACGTTTATGAGTGGTTATGTTTAAAACTAAGACGATGTATGTTTCTTTTATAGTGTATATAATGGTATTCAAATCGATTGATTTAATTAATTTAAAGCTTTTCGATAATTTTCTACGTATCGCGATAATCGATATTTTTGAACGAGGTATGTAATTTGAATTATAATGGGTAAATCGGTCCTATTTCATATTATAACATTCGGAAAAATTTGCATATTATATTTCCTATACTATTGTAACAAAATGTCAACTAATCTATACACCCGCTGATTAAAAAATATTGTAGGAAAAATAATATGCACATTTTTCCGAATATGAAATGTATACATAATATGAAATAGGACCGATTCATTATTATTCAAATTACATAACTCATTGAAAAATATCGAACAACTTTAAATTAATTCAATTAATCGATTTAAATACTGTTATATACTACAAAATAAAATTTATACTGTAATAGTTTTAAGTAGAATTATTCAAAAACGTTTAACGAGTATCATATTAGAGGACGCAGCTCGTTTGGGTGCATAGACTTTTAATACAACACGTTTGGGTATAAATGAATAAACCATTTGGGTACACCATTTTTCTAAAAGTAATACCACATTTGAATACAAATTAGTATAACGTTTTGATACACCTTCAAAAACAACACGGCAATATTTAGTATTGGAGTTATGACATTTGATTTCAGTCGTAAAAACCTTAGAAAACGGAATTTTAGACGTAACGCGATGAGTTATAATAATAATAATAATAATAATAATATTCGATAATATGAAAGTTCGTCTTTAACTACAGATTATAATATGCTCGTATCGTCACTAAGGGCGAGCCGCATAGGCAAAAATCCATTGAAAAAGTCGTAGGAACTACCTACGATTTTTCTCATAAACAGAATTATTTATCATATAATAGATATAAGATATTTATCGTGATATTTTTACACGGCGAATGTATTATCGAGATAAATCAACGACTATCTACGAAGGGTTTTGAGAAGGTAAATTTGATTTCGATGTATCTCGCGTATTAAAGAATCGTTAAAATACGATCTTTACGTACAATACGTATTATAAATTATTATGCTTCATAATATTTTCTAAATGTTACCTTTGTTCCGTAAGTAGGTGTATCCTGCATTGTACCTATTGTGTTTACTTATTGTGTATGTACATTACACAAACAATGTGTTTATGTCGATGTGCGTTTATGGCGGTACGCGGATATAATCAGATACAATTTTGGAAACATCGTACGTACAATGATCATTGTTGAACGATCAGTATAATAATAATACTCTTACGACGCGTCTATGTATATGTAAAAATCCAAAATCTTTATCACTCCAAACCTTTGTTATAATAGCTGTTAATCGCTGGTTCGTGATAAAAGAATCACTCCGCATGCATGTATATAATATCAGTATACATACGCGGTGGTGATCGAATGACGTTTGCGGTACGAGTGAATGTGTGTCCGTGTGTGTATGTTTGATACTAAGAGAAAAATAGTTGACGTAAATAACACCGTGGCACCGCCGTTGACTGACTACGACGAGTTTAATCCAATAAACGCGGCGCGTTCGTGAAACGCGAATTCGATAAAACCATAACGGCCACAATATAGTAATAATAATAATAATAATAATACAATAACAGTATACATAATATATGTATATATAGGTACAACACCGAAAAAAAGCAAAAAAAAATAAGAAATCGCCAAAAGTGGGGCACTCCGTTTCGCGAGACTTGAAAGCGTTTACGGTATTTTATGTTACTTATATAGGTATAAAGGTATACACGTATACGTTAACTTGTGTATGTGCGCGACGCTGGGTTCGCCTATAGGTTCACGTATAATAGGTACCTACCTACGTATATTTACCCCGTGGCCGCCACACCGGGTTTAGATTTATTTACAACGGAAACGGTCCTCTAACGGACTTAACCGATACGGAAATCGAAGGATACCTATTCGTCGCGCGTATGGGTATGGCGTACACTCGGCCGCCAGGCAATAAAACACAATCGAAGAGACGCGACCGCCGGAAAAAGGGGAGCATAAAAAAAAAAAAAAATAAATAAATATAATATATTAAAAATTCTACACATTTACTATATATTGTATAGGCACAGACGGTATTGTAATACATCGTTGGGTTCTTTGCAGATGAACATCTCTATTAGCCGGTCTTCTGCGCAACGGTTTTACCATTTATCCGGAATACCGTCGGTGTACAATGACACAGACTCTATTATGGTAAAAAAATTATCAGATCTGCCGGTCAAAAAAATAAAAAACTAAATTTACAACAATAATTTAT